CGTGAAGGAGATCGAGTCGTTTCCTTGTGACAGTGTGCAAAGTGACTTTGATGCGTCTTTATTTATCCCAGTAAAAAGTGTCGTTGAAGGCCAAGAGGGCAAATCTAACAGCTCAGATCTATCAGGATATTTGAGTGATTATAATGCACACTAATGTAGAGTCAGTGATACTTATAAACTGATGGATCAGGAGTGTTCGCAGGTCACTCACAGTCCAACACCAGCATGTGATGGAGGCTCTGTGGGCTCAGGAACACAGCTGTGTGGGTCCTGACGGTGCGACGTGAAGAGAATCGTCTCCTTCCAGAGAACAAAGTTATAAAATCAGAAGTTTTAAAGAGTAATTTAGCTGCTGCTGCTTCTTTAATTTGATCAACACATTTGTGATGATGTTTTATTTACGTTTTATTTTCTTGTCTAGTAGCACACAGTCACCCTGACTTTTATTTTGAAAGTTCAGTCATTTGTAACCATGTGATCTGTGGTTTGCCTGCCCGCTGCGTCTCATCCCACGCTCAGCTGATCCAGAGCCTGCAGCAGAGTTCAGCCAATTTTAAACTTTTTCATCTATATGAATAATTAGTTTGATTATTTGAGCTGCTGCCGTCTGTTTGCAGCATTTAAAACCGTGACGTTCCTGAGCTCCGATTGCTGACTCGGTGTTTGCTCTGCATTCCTTTCCAGTTGAAACGAGAGTCTCCTAAACTTAATTAAGATGCAGGAATCAGTGAGGCTACACCCTGTGGTCACATGTCTGTGTGTGTGGGAATTACTCACATGCACTCGTGTGTGTGTGTGTGTGTGTGTGTGTTGACACATTTGAGTTATGTATACTGAACTCTTGTCGCTGTGGTTTTATGAACTTCTGCAACCAGAGACACACAAACCTGCGACCTGCTGCACGACTGCACGCTGCAACAGGTCGGAGGTTTGTTTCCCTGCAGCTTCCCGGCCTCTGGATTTGCATGCAGTCTTACCTGTGTGTGTGTGTGTGTGTGTGTGTGTGTGTGTGTGAGAGATGGGTGTGGCATACCATTAATGTGTGTCTGTGTGCAGGAACAGCAGACTGTTTTTATTAGGGGCGGAGTGCATTTAAGCATCATCTCCACGCCAGCCCAAACACACACACACACACACACACACACGAGCCGGCGGCGCTGAAGCTGCAGAGCGATCAGCTGCCACATGTTTCAGCTGTTAATCTCTGGCAGGAGTCAGAGCTGCTCCTCTCTGGGTTTTTCCGCTCCCTCAGGGCTGTAATTTAGTTTCTGTGCAGACGCCGCAGCTCGGCTCTCTGCAGGAGGGCGGGGCCTGTCGGCTTCACACCTTCATTATATTTCATCGGGGTACCTGACGTCATTGGTGCTGAGAAACTTCTGGAAATTTGCAGCATGCATCATCACCAAAATGAATGAGACTGTTGTCTTTGTTCAGCAGGTTCAGTCTGGGCTCAGCTGTGGATGCAGCGACGCTGACTGCGATTTAAAACCTGCCAACATGTTTGTTAGCAAGCAAACTTCAGATTAATACTCTTAAACTTAGCTGGTTTATTGTTCGATCCACGTTTATTCAGAGAGTCGGAATCACATCAAGGACTAAACCTGGGATTCCCAAAGTGTAGGCCGGGGACCCCTGATGGGCTGAGAAGGTACTGCAGGTGACCGACAGTAATAACAGTTTGTTGTGGCCTCAAAACATGAATGAACACACAACAAGGAATTGTTCATTTAAATAGTCCTGCAGCACTAACACGTATCTACAGTTAAATCCATTTTTCACTTTGTTTGAAAAAACACACAATAGCTTTTATTTCTAATACAGCGAGCTTTGCAGGTGGAAACATATTAAAAATAAGGATCACAAACTGAGCTCTGCAGATTTTAGAAACTGAATTGTTTGCTAAAAAAACCAAGTTTTGGGCGCTGGTTTATCTTCACGCTGTCAGTGCACGACACACGTGCAGCTCCATGTTTCTGCATGCGCGTCACAGAGGGTGTCATGTCAAGCTAACATGTCAAGCTAACAATGCTAATGCTATAAAAGCAGCCTATCACGTAGCTGCTGTGGAGCAGAGCGAGCAGCAGGAACTCAGACGACCGCTTTCAGCGACTGTTTCTGGAGAGTCAGAGGGAACGGTTGGTGTTATGAATACCAACATATCTGAGGGCTCAGCGGGGGCCAGGAGGGGGGGGGAGGCTAAAAATACACGTTTGGAGTAAACATGCGTCCAACTCACCTCCATCAGGACTGAACTCACATCGAGGCTCAGAGACGTTTTCCTTTAACGTCGCCGTTCAAACCTGCAGCCTGACAGCTCTGCTGCACCACAGACAGTCCCAGTATCTTAAAACACATTTTTACTGATTGGCTTTCAACACCACATGAGTTACCATCTATCCACCCAGTCATCTGCTTCCACGTATTTGTTATCGATCTTATTTCTTACTGTGTAATTTTTTACTTGTTTTAAATCTTTGTGCAGCACTTTGGCCAACATTATGTTATTAAATGTGCTTTATGAATAAAGTTCCACAGCACAGCTCCACAGTGTCACTCAAGCCTATAAAGTTCAATCCCTGAACCTTCTGTAGTGATTCTTCCTCGGAAACTTTCTTTAAACCAGGAGAAAAATTTGCTCTTCATGGTAAACTGAATATGGTGACCTCATGGAGGCGGGCTTTCCTTTACCATCAGAGGGATCATGTGATCACCCACTGTGGGCTACCAGCCTTTTTTTATACCAGTGAGCTCACCAAAGTCTCCCAGGCTGCTGCAGCTCTGCTCAGTGAGGAGCGCCTGCAGACGCTGCGCTGAGAGCTGCTTTGCTGTGGTTCAGAGAAACCGCAGCAAACGGGCGTTTGAAAGGTTTTCCAGTAAAGGTCCTTCGTAGCTCTAAATGGAAGCGTTCTCTGAACTGGTTCTTGCTTTGTGTGTTAACAAAGCTGCAGCCTGTCTGTCTGCACTGAAACAGAATAAGCTGCAAAGTGCATGTGAAGCTAACCGAGGGAACCTCGCAGGACTCGTCTGACTCCACGTGTCCAAACATCGCTGCTGAAATTTGTCTTTTTTGTTTTTCTTTGGAAAAGAAAAAATCAAATTTCATCACTCAGAGTTTTAAGAATAGTTTTCAGTTGACGTTTCTGAGGTCGTGACCTTTAACATCCTCTTTTCCTGTCTTCTGTCCAGATCCTCTGACTCTGTGTCTCCATGGTGAAGTGGGCGGGGTTTGATGTCAGCCCCTCATCTCGTCGACCCTCCCGCCATGCCCACCATGGTCTCTAGGTTGCCCAAGTTTGGTTCTCGGCCCAGATCTCAGACGGCTCCCGCCGCCACCGCCGCTGTCAGCACCAGCGCTGCTGCTGCTGCCAGCGCCGGGACTCGCCTCACCAACGGGTTCTACCACCACCCTGGACCATCAGGGGGCAACGGCGTCCTAACGGCGCCCCCGTCCTCGGCTAAACAGAATGGATTTATCCGAGTGCCGAGTTCGATTTCTGTGAAATTGAGGAAAGAAAATGGATTGATGGTGGACGGCGGCGGTGATGGGGAGAGGGCGTGGAGCCGGGGGAATGGCGGGCGGAATCGCAGCAGCGTCCAGCAGTTTTACTCCCAGCGTGACGCCAAAAAAGCAGCCTGTGTGGAAAAGGGGCGTGGCTTTGGCCAGCCCGTGCCATTATCATCATCGCCGTCTCCACAGTCCAGCCCCGGCACGCTTCCTGCTTCCAAAATCAGATCCAACAAACTGAGTCCATCAGGGCCGACCAACGGCGCCAAACACGCCCTGAACGGCGTTTCGGGGCCCAAACCGCGGCCCGGACCCGGCAGCTCTCTGAGACGGCCTCAGAGTTTCCTCTCTCGCGCCGGCGGTTCTGGTCCCGGATCTCGAGCTGGTTCCCCGTTCCAGAAGAAGACTCCAGCCAACCGCTCGTACTCCAGCGACAGCCTCGGCTCCGCTGTCTCCGTCCGGCTCACTGAAGACGATCGCTTTCGCTCACGGAGCCTCACCCAGGTCCGACGGCAGCCCTCCCCCACCCTCACCCCTTCCTCCGCCTCCTCCTCGTCCCTCTCTCAGTCCCCCTCCACCAGCAGGGCTCCACCTAAAGGCAGCCTGCTGAAACCACCTGTTAGCAGCCAGGCAGGTAGAGGCGGAGCCAGTGTTGGTTCTGCTGCTGCAGCGAGGACGGGGGTCTCCTCCCTCCTGCCTCCGTCTGCCTTAAAGAAACCCCTCCTACCCAGCCTGGGCCCCACCTCCAGGCCCAGTGGCATCAGCTACAAGATGTCACGCCCAACACTCATCAAGCAGTCCCGCCCACTGCGAGCGACGACGGCCAATCAGTGTGTAGACGTCCAAGGACTGAGCAGACGGAAGGACTCTGTAGAGACGCCTTCGACGACAGAAAACAGCCCAGGTTCAGCTTTTAACTCTTTATTTTACGCACAGCTTTTTATTTTTGTCTGTTTGTAGTTTCTCTCTAACAGCTGCTCGTCCTCCTCCAGGAAACACTCCAGAGGCTCCGGACGAGCTGCCGGCATCCCAGGGAGAGGTGTCGATTTTAGGGGAGACGCTGGAGGACATGTCCCTGTCTTCCACCTCCTCTCTGGATAGAAACGACACCAGTCAGGAGTACATGGACGACTTTGACAACCTCGGTGAGATCAGATTTCTTATTTTCTACAGATGTCAGTAAATAATATCTGACTTCACGGCGACGCTCGTCTGCTGTTTGCAGGAAACGGAGGCGTCGGCATCCTGCTGCTCTCCTCCAAAAATGAGGAAGACGACTCCGGGCTCGACCAATCGTGCGCCAGGTTTGATGACGACAAGGTGGTCGCTAATTGTGTCACCAAGGCGACCGGGCTGTGTTTTCTGGATGACGGTATCGACTGGAGCGGCGTGAGACTCACAGGTGAGTTTCATGAGGAGCAGGTGGGAGGAGAAAACGTGTCGAGACGACTGCTTAAAAAAATAATGCTGCTTGTGTTCAGGTGAACGGGGAGACCATCAGCTGACCCGAATCTCCCGCCGGAGACGGTCCAGTCAGCTGGACTACCACGAGCAGGTACCGCCATTAAACCCATACAAAGAACTTTCTATCCGCCAATCAGAAGGAACTATCAGTGCTCACTGCCCACAGCAGCAGCTAATGCTGTGGCTTAGCCTGTGCTAGCGGCCATATTTCTTGTAGTTTTGGGCCAACACTTCCTGTTACATTTGCCAGATTTTGTTTTTTAATTAGAGAAATCAATAAAAGCCAGTAGGCTGCTTCATTTAATGAAAAAATAGAGTCTAACAGCACAAACACAGTCCGGAGGTCCAGTTCAGGGACTCCAGTTAGCTGAGGTGAAGCTAGCAGACAGCTAGCAGCTACAGCCGCCT